AGAGAGACAGAGAGACAGAGAGACAGAGAGACAGAGAGACAGAGAGACAGAGAGACAGCGAGGCGTGAATGCCAAGAAGCTCATTGACTGCGAGATTTCTCTGTGTCTCTCTATGTTTCTATTTTTAGGCTTACCAGTTTACCTGGATACACCGACGGACAGACACAGACAGACACAGAGACAGGGAGACAGAGAGACAGAGAGACAGCGAGGCGTGAAAGCCAAGAAGCTCATTGACTGCGAGATTTCTCTGTGTCTCTCTATGTTTCTATTTCTAGGCTTACCAGTTTACCTGGATAGACGGACAGACACAGACAGACACAGACAGACACAGACAGACACAGACAGACAGCCAGACAGGCAGACACGCAGACACGCAGATACGCAGACACTCAGACACGCAGACACGCAGGCACGCAGACACGCAGGCACGCAGACAAGCAGACACGCAGACACGCAGACACGAGAGAGACAGAGAGGCAGAGAGGCACAGAGTAGCCATTTTGGCTCAAGCCGCGAGTGGTCCAAGTGAACGAGTGGCCTCCCTGCCCCTCCTTTCTTACTCCACTTGCTCTTGAGGCCACCGTCACTCAACCCGGGGGCCTGCCCTCTTCTGCTCCTGCCGTGTCCCTTTCTTTGCCATTGCTGTCCTGAGAGAGGGGCAAGTTTGCGCTCCTGCCGCACCTCGCTTCGGAGGAGGAGCTCGTTGTGCAACGGTTCAGGCCGGTGACCGCTGCGGGTCCAGCTCTTTCTGCAGTTTGTCATCAACGCCGAGCAGGGCCTCGGCGACACTACACGTCCTCTTTGACCGCGACACGATCCTGCCGGGGGACGTCCTCGAGCGACGGCTTCTTGAAGGTAACGGTCGTGATAGTGGCAGGGACATAAAGATTGAGATCCACGCCCTACGACGCGAACGATGGCTGAGAATGCCATGGATGCAGTACATGAATCGCCGCAGCGCAAACGAGGGGTGCCCTCCAATGAGCCCCTAAGCATCGACTCCATCCGCGAGGTTCTACACAGGGGGCTATGAATGGAGTTACAGATCGGGTGGCTGCCTTGGAGCGCAGCCTGCAGTCGCACAACGAACGTACCTTCCAGGCAGTGGAGACCCTGTCCACTGGGCAGGCTGAGCAGGCCCTCCAGATCCAGCAGCTCGCGGCCGACTCCAAGACAGTCGTGGGGAAACTCACGCACCTGGAGAGCACCGTCAAGTCCCTTCAATCGGCAGGCAGCACACCGTCCACCATGGATGCAGGACGTGTTCCGGCCTTAGTTATGGGGGGGTGGCCCCCAGACACCATTGCCTCAGAAGTGCTGCAAAAGGCCAACGAAATGGCCAGAGACCTCCACCTGCACCTCAACATGACTGAAGCTTTTGTGCCAGGTGTTCGTCGAGGGTTTGTACTCATCCCGATCTCGCCTTTCCAAGGGGGAAAGCGAAGATACCATGAGACAGCGAGTCCAAGCATGCATCAGGCGTGTCAATGCCTCCAATATCTCTTTGGGACGCAAGCCCGACGGGAACCCTGCGAAGCTGTGGCTGTCAATTAGCCAGCCGCCTGAACGCCGGCGCCGAGCCGCTCTCGCTGGCAAAGTTAACAGGCTCATCATCGAAGCAGGGGGAAACTCCACCATGACCAGGATCGAGCTACGGGCACAGTCTGGTTTAAGGACCAGAAGGTTTCTTCGGGAACCTCGGCGGGACCGACTGGGTCCAAGCAGGCTGGCTGCGGGTGGATAGACCTCCCACTCCTGGCACGCCTCCTGGGGGTCAGCCTAGACAACCTGGAGCAGACGTGGGAGCCTTTGGCTTCAGCCCTGAACTGACTGGACCAGGACTTTGCGGCGGGGGAAACCCCAGAAAAGTTTCACGAGCCCTTGCCCCAGCCTCGGTTGCATGGCCCTCAACAAGAGCAGGCCAAGCGATCGACTCAGGACAATTTGTACTGTGCCACTTGGAAACCTTAGCGGCATGAGCGTTGACACGGTCCTTGATCTGCTCGCTGGTTTCCGGGGGGTGCCTTCCCTGTCCCGCCTACAGGTCGTCTTTCTCCAAGAGATTTCGACGCAAGGGGGACCGCACTTTGATGGTGACGAGACTTGGATGCTCGTTCATGGAAAACTGCCTCGAGAGTGGCGTGGGTGCGGGGTCGCCTACACTAAGCTCCTCGGCACGCATGCAAATACGCGTTTGTGCCTTGCAGCCTGCTCCACAGTCATTTCCCATCATGACAAGACCCATCTAGGACTAATCTCAGGACACATTTTCCATAAGTTTACCGTTGCCCAAACAGCAGAAGCCCTCGCTGAGTGGGAACAAGTCCCAGCATGCCAAACTCGTAAGCTGCTCCTCGGACTTGATGCGAATGAAACCATCCTGCACCCGCAGGGACTGCTGGGAGATGCCACCCTCTCCGTCATCCTGCCGATGTCCCCAGCCCCTAAAAGTAAGGTCCGTTGGAGCGCCCGCCAACTGAGGGATGACTGCCATGCTGTACTCGCTAGGTACAAACCCTCACATGCAGATGCACATCAGGCCATTGCAGACGTCGCACAAGCCATCACAGAGCCGGTGCACCGCTCACTTAAGTTCAAGGAGAGCCCTGCCCTCAAGCAGAAGCGAAAGGATGCCCGGAAGGTGCCGCTCAACCCCCGCCTCCTTCATGGATGACACATACCTCTGAGAGGAAGCCCCGGAATACGTGCAGCGAGTCCTTGACGACCTCGAAGGCCGACTCCTGCAGCTCGGACTTCGCATTAATGCAAAGAAAACCCAAGTTATCTCCAATCAGGAGGCAGACCCGTTTCGTTTTGTAATTGGGGGCGTCCCCATTGCACCCGAAGGTCCCGAGGCTCTGATGACCGTCTTAGGTTCGCCGATAAACTTATATAGGGGCGATAGCTCCCCTTGTCGCCGAGATGCAGGGCAGGGCGCGTAAGGCTTTCCATGCCCATACAAAAGTCCTCTGCTCTGGGCACCGATCAAGGAACGTGTCCAGATGCATCAGATTCTAGTCGGGGGGGCTGCGCTCTGGGGCTGTCCCGCTTGGCCCGTGCAGACGTCCCTCCTTCAGGCTGCCAACTCGGTGCAACTCCTGCAAGCCAGAAGCATCGTAGGGGGAACCAGGACCCCTGGAAAACAGTGGCAGGCATGGCACCTTAGGACTATGCGGCGCGCCACCAGCACCGAATTCCGAGGTGGTCCACCATGGAACTTGTAGGGGCACATTGCCAGAGCGCCTTTCCAACCGACCTTTCACATCCTCCGCTGGAGGGACCTCACCTGGTGGAGGGACCAGCAAGCCCTCACGCCTGGCCCCGCGCCACGGGGCATCCGACACGTAGGACACCTTCGTTGACCCCGAACGGCAGATCAGTGAGATCGCGGGACCGCAGTGGTGGGTCACGGCAGCAGACAGGAGTGTTTGGCAACGCCTCGAGAGAGACTTCCTCCTGCATTTCGATCCTCCGTGGGCAAGTGGCAAACAGCTCACACTCCCGGCGGCCCCAAACCTTGCCCCCAACCGACGACGCCAACAAGCAACAGTTCGTGCCCTAAGCATTGTTGATCGCCGGGGGCACCGACCCGACACGCCAGCCCGGGGTTTGCCTCGCCGCAACTGATGAGTGCAGATTACCTACATGACGGTCATGCGGCCCAGCGCAGCCTCAACTTTCCAGCAGACCCCTTCCTTTGTGGTTTAGTCCCCCCTTCTCCCCCCTGTTGTTGTAGCTTTTTGTTAAGACCCGGTGAAGGGAACGCACACACGCTTCTGGCCAGTTGGCCCAGCCACATGGTTTTATAAGTGCCCGAATTTGTGCTGAGAGTGGACATGCAAGCTGGGAGAGATCTTCAGCCAAGCCCGAAGCAGCCCCCTCCCCGACCTGACCTGTGTGCATATGCAAATCGTGAGGTTAGGCTGCCATCTCTCGACAGTGGAGGTCTGAGCCGAACCTCGCAGAACTTTTGGTTTCCAAGAAAACTCAGCCCCTGCCCGAGCCTCAACATGGACGATCGCCGCGCACCTCTGAGCCGAACGGTGAACACCTTTGCCATGCTGCCCCTCGGCCTCTTGAGTGCCCTGATGCTCTTTTTCCTGCCCGGCATGAACGGCGTCCCTACGACGACAAATTGGGGGGTTACTGACCTCCAAAGCGATGACTCCGACATGCCAGAGGCGCCTCCAGACTGGATGGAGCCAGAGCCTGACGTGCTGGCACCTACAAACCTTGCCGCCCCTACAGCGGTGGCGACACCGATGGAAATGGTGTACAATATGCCAATGAGCGCCCAAGCCTCTCACTCTAGCCTCCTATCAGGGGAAAGGGAGGAGGCGACCCTGGGCCCACATGCTGAACTACCACGACCCAGTCAGCCTCGCACTCTACCCGATTCTGAGCACCAACAACTACAAGACCCGGCCTTGGACCGAGAACGTGGACGACCCTGACGTCGACCACGAGGGCACGCTCAAGCAAGTCCTGAAGGTTATGCTGCCCAGCCAGACCGGGGTGGACGTGGACATGGACATCGACAAGGAGGGCGCGAGCCCTGGCCTTGGGAGCAAGGGAGCCAGTCAAGCTCTGCAATGCAGCCGATGCCCCAGCGCAGCTCGGCCCCCCTTATCCCACCGCAACAGATGGCCCAACAACCACCGCTTCGCTACGGACATGCCTCTGGGCAAGAGCAACGTCCTCTACAACATGGTGCCGCAGACCCACCTCCACTACTACCTCAACAAGGTCCGACGGCAATGGGCCGACC